CCTGCGGGCCCCGCGGGCTGCTGGCGGCCGCCCCGATGCCCGGCGGGGCGGAGCCGCTCTGCGCGCTGGGCGGCGGCGACGGGCGGCTGCTCGTGTTCGCCCTGAGCGGCCCCGAGCGCCCCGCCAGGCTGAGGCCGTTCGAGGGACCCGTGCTGGGGCTCAGCTGGGCCGCCCGGCCCGGACCGTCCCTCGGCCCCGCCGCCCTCGTGGTCTCCGGCCCCGGCGGGACCGTGCTCTGGATGGATGTTACCTGCAGCCCCGGGCAGGTGCCTGCGGTGCGGCTCATGGGGCGCTACCGGCTGCCACCCTGCAAGCAGCGCTGGCACACCTGTGCCGCCTTCCTGCCCCAGGGAGGGCTGCTGCTGTGTGGGGACCGCCGCGGCTCCCTGCTCCTCTTCCCCTGTGGCAGCAGCAGCTCTGATGGCACCGACACAGGTACCCTGGGCAGCGAGGGCACTGCGAGCCAGTCGGAGCCCTCCTGCTTGTTACACAGCGAGGCTGTGCCCATCGAGAACCCTCTATTCGTGCTCTTTGGGCTGCATGGCAAGACAGGGGTCACCTCAGTGACCTGCCGTGGGGACTACATCTATAGCACAGGCCGGGACGGCTGCTACCGGCAGCTCTGTCTGCGGGACCAGCAGCTGGAGGTGCTGCAGAAGCACCGGCCCCGCAAAGGGCTGCAGTGGATTGAGGAGCTGCGTTTCATGCCCAGCGGGGACCTGCTGGTGCTGGGCTTCCACGCCGACAACTTTGTGGTGTGGAGCACAAGGAGCGGGGTGAACCTGCACTGTGTGCCCTGTGGTGGAGGGCACCGCTCCTGGAGCTACCACAGCAGCCCTGAGGCCGATGCCTTTGCTTTCATCAAGCGTGGGGACGTGATGCTGTACCACAGCGAGGCCGAGCCCTGTGAGCAGCGGGTGCTGCTGGCGTCCCTGCATGGCCGCGAGATCACCTGCGTGCGGCACCTGGGGGCCGTGCGGGCGCCTGGATGCCGCCCCATTAATGTCTTCATCACCGGCAGCGAGGACACCACGGCGTGCGTGCTGACACTCAGTGAGCTGACGCGTGCAGCGGTGCCCCTCACCAGGCTCAGCGACCACATCTCCAGTGTCAGGGCGCTGGCCTTGGCCGGCACTGTGCTGCCTAACGGCACCCAGCTCTGCTCCTTGCTGTTCTCAGCTGGTGGCCGCGCACAGATTGAGTGCTATCGGCTGCAGTGCGCTGCGGATCTGGAGGCTGAGAGCATGGTGAGCTGCCAGGTCACTCACATCGCCTCCCACCGGCTGGATGAGCACTGGGACCGCATGAAGAACAGGCACAAGCTTGTCAAGATGGACCCGGAGACGAGGTGATGCTCGATGGCTGCCTGAGCCTTTGAGGGGATTTTGACTCAGTCCTTCTTCTCAGAACCCCCAGAGTGTTCAGAGCTGTGTCATGTGCTGAGTTCATGCTGCTGCCCCCCCTGTCCTCCTACACGACAGCAGGTGCCGGGGGGGCATGCAGCAAGCATTCTATGTTTGCCCAGGTACATGTCCCTCTCAGTCGTATGCGGAACCAACAGCAAGCAGCTGCCCGTGCCCTGTACGTTCCTGGTAGCTGCATGCAGCGATGGATCAGTCCGGTGAGCAGTCAGCATGGGGCTTAGCTGCCTAGAGGTGCCAGCTCTGAGCAGGAGTAGGGTGGTACCTTGCAGTAAGGCACCTCTTTCTCCCAGGATCAGTTGCATCTCCCTCTGCCCAGGCTCTTTGTGCTGCTGGAGGCTGCCCAGAAGCTGCTGCTCGTGGCAGAGTCGTTCCACCACCAGCGCTGTGTGCTGAAAGTGGAGGCATTCCTGCACACGTGGGCAGAGGAGGAGAGGTGAGCCCTGGGCAAGATACTGGGAGGGAAGCATTCATCCTTGTGATGCCTGCGCAACAAGAAAGAGTGATGGTAGTGGAGCTGGTGAAGGGAGGGAGGAAGTTGGGGCCATCCTTTCTGCTTGCCCTGGGTATCAGCATGGGGCTGGAGGCTGCCCAACATCTTCCTTCCAGGAAGCACTTCCTGTGTAGTGCAGCCACTGACGGCAGCGTTGCCTTCTGGGACATCACCAGTACCATCGCAGATGCAACAGATGCCCTGCAGCACTCAGAGGGAGAGATGCAGCCATTGGGTGGGTACAGCTATGGGCAGGGAGGCTGTGCCAGCAGCTCTATGCACTGCTGTCCTGACCGAGCCTCTCCTTCCAGCCCTGGCCACCCCGCTGCTCACTGTCGTGGCTCACAGCTGCGGGGTGAACAGCCTGCACATCCAGGAGCTGCCCAAGGGACAGTTCCTGGTGGCCAGTGGCAGTGATGATGGCTCCATCCACGTCTGCCTGCTGGAGGTGACACAGGACGGTGATGAGGCCGAACCAGAAACCTGCTTGCGCATCCTGGAGCGCGTGGCGAGGCCGTGCAGCCACGCCGCTCACGTGACGGGGATCAGAGTGCTGCGGCCGGACCTGGTGCTCTCTGCCTCCGTGGACCAGCGGCTGACACTGTGGAGGCTGAGCTGGGACAGCCTGGAGGAGCTGAGCACCACCTTCTTCTATGTGCCCGACCTGGCGGAGCTGGACTGCTGGGAGGTGGCAGAGGCAGGTGGGGAGCGGTGTTGGTATTGCGTGCTCTGTGGGCAGGGCCTGGAGCTCCTGCGCTGTGCTGCCCTGGACACCCACTGCAAGCTCCAGTCACAGGGTGCTGTCCGGTAAAGGGGTGTAGTAAAATCCCTGCTCCCCATCTGCATGGGGACAATGAGAGCAAAGGAACGTCCCAGCACACTGCTCCAGGTGCCCTGTGTGTGTGCAGTGATGCAGCTGTGCTGTCCTCCTCGAGGAGGATGGACATCCCTCTGTCCCACAGGGAGAGCCAGAGCTCTCCACATGCTCGGAAGATTGAGGGCAGCAGGAGGCCAAGAAAGGTACAGAGCTGCTGGGGAACAGAGGGCTGCAGCACACTGTTTGTTGTGCCCCACTAGGCCAGCCCTATCAGAGCAGTCCTTCAATGCCTTCGTCAGGCTGGCAGGGTTGTTCCTGTGCAGCAGCAGACCTGCAGGCAGCCAAGGCACAGTAAGGATAAGAAGCTGTACACAGCCTTCGGCCAGAAAGGCTGGACTGTGCTATTGGAACATGGGGCTGCTTGCAAGCACTGCTTAACCTTGCTCCTGCAGCAAGGTACTCCCACTCCTGTGCACAGCACAGACCTTTCTAATACTCATCTTTCCCTCCCCCTCCTCAGTTATCACTGCTAGGTCAGACACAGCATTTGTCCAGCAATAAATGTATTCAGCCCTAATGTTAGGAGTTGGCACAAGGCAGGACAGCAGCCTTGAGGCTCAGGAGCTCTCTGCCAGCACAGAGCTCCCCTTCAATAAACAGCTTTGAGGGAACAGATTGGTGCCTGGCTTTATGGGTGCCTCAGTCTCTTGTGCTTCCTTCCTTTGTGGGCACCGAGGAGGAGGAGCCGCACAGTGAGATTCAGATGGACCCCAACTCCCAGTCTCTGACCAACAAGCAGCCCAGTGCCTGGCCTGGGAGGAAGTACCCTGTTCTGCCCCTTGTAGCACTGCTGTTTGTCACTCTGTGGCAACAGTCCTTAGTGGTGGCTCAGATCTGGCTGAGAGGAGGGAGGTGCAGAGTTGCCAGGGCACTATGGAACATGTCCCTCACTGCTCCCAGCAGCTGGAGGCGTGCAAACATCTGGTCAAAGAGGTGAGGGAATGGCTCCTGCAAGGAGAAAGGCGGTGAGGTGGCGGTTCTATTTCTTGACCTTGTTGTTTCTGCTCTCCTTCATATCCTGTTGCTGCAAAGCTGGCATCTTACCAGCATCCAGGAGCAGCCCCCCAGTAAATAGCCTGGAACATTTGACTCACCCCGAGAATGTGAACCCGGTTGTAGTAGGAGCTGAAATCCATGCTGAGCTGGATCAGGAACTTGCACACCTGCAACACAGACAGCTTGGGCTGATGCTGCATGGTCTGGCCAGTCTGGGGCCATCCTGCACAGCAGGAATAGCAGTGAGGGCATTACCATCTCTTCCCAGGAACACCCCTCAGCACTCTGCAGAAGAGCAGCCCTAATCTGGGCTAGCACTGTTGGTGCTACAGGTGCTTTGGCACACAGCACTTACTGCCTCTGTGTTCGCTGTGACCCGGAGCCCCTTGCTGGGTGGGGGCAGCTGTGCTGCTTGCTGCAAGACTTCTGGGAAGGGCAAGAGGTAGTTGAAGAGGAGGAGCCATTCACCCTGTGAAAGGATTATGCCTGTCAGAGAGGGCCAGAAGCATCCATCCCCCAGAGCCAAGGGCACACTGCTTTCCACAGACCCTGTCCCTCAGCACTCACTTCTTCCCGGAGGCAGGAGAAGTTCAGTTCTGATGCTGGTGGCAGAGGTGGGTATGTGCCTGCAAAAGTGGTGAGACTGTGGTTGCGGCCAGGGAAGCCTTTGTGACTGCAGGTATGAGGAACAGCTGTTAGAGGTGGAAGACAAGCAGGGCCAGTGCTCACCTCGCTCTACAGCCCGCTGGTATGTGTCAAAGAGCGTGGCCAGCCGGGCACAGTTGTACATCACAAAGGCACCACTCTTGGTTCCCTTTGTAGAAATGCTGCTGTCCTCCAGGTCCAGGGTGATCTGAGGGCAGAGACAACCTGCAGTCCAGGCTGCTTGGCCCAGGGCCATTCCTGGTGCATCCCTGTGTCTCCTGCTGGGGGAGCAGTACCTTCCCATCAGGTGAAGTGTGGCCACCAGCGTGCTGAGCACCATGCCCTGCTGGGGCTGACAGGCACAGCCTACCAGGATATCAGCCCAGACATTGTGATTTACCCTGAGAAAAACCACTCCCAGACTGAGCTTGGGGTGGCCAAAGTCCATTCAGTGCCTCCTCACACCCAGTGCTACTTGTCCCTCTGCTCCCACCAATCTCCCAACTGTGCCATGATCCACAACTCCCTGAGCAGTACTGCTTGCCTGCCTCCCACTACGCTGCAGCTCTGGGCTGTTCTACCTGGCTCCGGTGGGCAGTGCTCAGCATCTCAAACCTGATGGCAGCCACTGTCAGGATATCAATAACCTCAGTCCAGGCCTCGTCTGCAGAGAGAACACAGGATGGAGGAAGCTGTGTGGTACTGTGTGCCTGCCATTTCCAAAGCCCCAGGTAGGAAAACCCACTGCAGTGAGGGGGCTCTGCTGAAGCTGGTGTATGGGCACCTCCCCAGCCCCGACCTCCCCCCTCCACAGCCTGCAGAGCAAACCCTCACCTTGTGCAAGCTCCCCATATTTCATGACAGAGGCTTCATACATCTGGCGTTTCCTGAGCCTGGGAGGAACACACAGTCACTGCTAAGCAGGCTGCATGGGGCATCATTCCTTCTACAACAGAAAGCTGGCCAACCAAGGGCACACAAATCCTGCCTGGAGCAGGACAGAGACAGCAACACTGCTGCTGGCAGTAATGAAGAAGCATTGTTGAAGTCCTCCAGAAAAAACCCCAAGGTTTAGAGAAGCAGAAGAGAGAGACACACTAGGACTGCTGCCTGTAGGGCCAAACAGAGCACAGGCAAGACATGCAGACATGCAGCATGGCATGGCAAGGCAGGCTCCTTGCTCAGTACCAACTTACTGAAAGTAATGGTCTGCACTGATGGGGGATAAGGGGTTTGTCACCTTCACTGGTCCACAGACAAGGTGCTTCTGAAAGAGAGGAAGTGCTAGGTGAAAGAAGCTCCTTTGTAATGTAGTGCAGGAAAAACTGTGCCTACAGAGCTACCAGGAAACTGTTCACATCCTGGGAATGGGTACCACAGGAAAAGAGGAACCCAGAGTTAGAGGCTACTAAAACAGCACTGCATTAGTTAAAGACTGTCGTTTTCTAGCTGTGTCCTGCAGTTTTCTCCTATCCCCCCTTCTTTAATGCTAAAATCCCAAGGAAATTGGATGCCAAAGGGAAGGGAAGACTCATAAAGGCACAAGGCTGGGCCTCAGCATTCACTACAGGTGCTAAAGATGGGCTGACGCATGAACCACAGTGCAAAGTGTAGGAGTTCCTCACCTGCAAATCCATGCTGGCTCCTGGATCCAAAATCCTCCATAACAGATCCATTTGCTGCTGCTGGAATTCCTCCTCGCAGCTCACTATGTGCACCACACTGCAGCAGCTCCCCTGGCACACTGCCTGCAGCACAGCACAGCAACAAGTTCAAACACTGACAGGAGAGAGAGAAAGCAGCAGGCGGCACCAGGGGGTCACTCACCATGCCCTGCAGCACAGCTTGCTGCAGTTCAGCCAGGGACTGCAGCTTCTCCTCTGTCACTGAAAGAAGGGAGGGCACTCAGTGGGACAAGGGGCTTATTCCATACCATATGGATCTGTCCCAGGCTGCCTCCATTTCTGGCTCAAACCAGAGGAGAAGGAGGAAGCAATTTGCTTCTGTCCCTTACTCTCCGTAAAAACAACGGGAACAAAGAACCCGGCCCACTTGCAGCCTTTCTCCCCTGCTATCATCAGCAATACTCCATGTGTGACTCACCAAGGAGGACTCCCAGGTTGGGGTCATAGCCTTCCAGGCCCTGCTGCTCCACATAGCTCTTCAGGTGTACTTTACAAATGATGTCCTCAGGCGGTGAGGCCACACCTGGCCCCCTTTCAGAATGTGTGGCATAGTGGCACTGGCTGAGAGATTGCTTCAAGGCTGACAGAGTCTCAGGGCTGGCTGTGCTGCTGGAAGGCCATTCCACACGGAGCTGCTGCAGGACCTCCTGGCTCCGCTTGTCGGTGACAGCAGGCACCAGGAACGTGCTGAGCCTGCGGGAGTGTGAGATTTGGGCACGGGCCGGGGAGCACGGGCCGGGCAGGAGGCGAGGGCAGGGCGCTCACCCTTGGGCACGCAGCAGCTGGGCCAAGTGGTCAGCGAGCAGCACGGGGCGCAGGCGGCGGGGCGTCAGGCCTCCGGGGCACCGCAGGGCCGGACAGTGCAGCACCACCGCCGCCTGCGGGCCGGGTAGGGGGGCGGGACCAGGGCCGGGCTGGGGGCCCAGCAAGCGCCGGAAGGCCTCGCAGCGCCGCAGCCGCACCTCCAGCCCCGCCGCCGTCTGCCGGCAGCCGCGCACCGCCAGCACCCCCGGGCCGCCCAGCGCCGTCACGGCCGCGACGACATCGGAGGGCACCTACGAGTTGGAGCGGTGGTCAGCACACCGCCCGGCCCCGCCCCCCCGCCGCGGCCTGCTGCCGGCCTACCGACCTGCCCCCCGGCGAAGGCGGCCCCGAGCGCAGCCCGCGGCGCCAGAAAGTCGCGGTGCCGCAGGTTGCGGGCGCTGCTCTCCTTCACCCAGAGAGACGCGGGCCGCCCCAGCGCCACGTTCAGCGCCCGGAGCGTCGCCGCCAGCCCCGGCCGGTCCTCGCCCGTCTCCATAGCAGCCCGGCCGCCGCTTCCGGTGAGAGGGAAGAGGTGACGTCACCGACGCGTCGCCCACGTGGGTGCGGCCGGAGGAGCGCAGCCGCCATGTTGAGCGCGGCGCCCCCGGCGCCCCCGGGCCGCCATCTTGGGCGCGGGCGGCCATCTTGGAGGAGCCGCCATGCTGTGTGTGGCGAGCGAGGGGCCGCCCGTGTCTGAGCCGGGGGTGGGCGCACGTGCCGGCTACAGCCGCGCTCCGCGAGGCGCTCCGTGCCGCGTCACCGAGCCGGTGTCACCGCTGCGCCGTCACGGCGGAGCGTCGTGTCGATGTCGTCGTACCCTGGGCCGCCCTCGGCCCAGAGCCGTGCTGTGCCCGCAGGGAAACACGGCAGCGCATCCCGGGGCCGCACCGTGCCCGACGCTCAGCCCGAGCCGCGGGGCGACGCGAGGGCAAAGCGTGGCCCGGCAGCGCCGCCCCACTGCTGCGGCACGGAGGGGATGGCGGGGCCGGGACGGGACGGGGGCGCGGCGCACGTGGCTGCACGGGGGAAGCCGCGCCTCGTGAGCGGCTGTGGCCGGGCCCCGTGGCGCAGGGCGATGGCGGCCGTTGGATCGCGGTGTCCCGCGGCGCTGCTCCGGGCTCAGTCTCACTTCCCTCCCGCCGGGGCCGCGTGCCACCCCGCAGGGCCCACAGGGCTGTTTTGCTGGTATCCAGGAAGCACCCAAACCCCTTGGCGGCGCGTGTCCCCCCTCCTTCCCTCCCTGCGGGGGGGGCCGTTCTGCCCGCAGGCCCAAACCGGTTTCTCCAGGGCTCACGTTCTTCTGTTTCCCTCGTTGCAGGCGCCCTCAGGGACCTGGCGGCTCCTCATTGCTTTCCAGGGGGCTGAGAGCCAGAGCGCTGTATGGATGGAGCCCCAGGCAGTCCCCGAGGTGGGGTGCTCCCTGCACCACCCACAGCCAAGAGGTGATCTGAGAACTGCTGCTCACACAGACCAACTGCTGACTGTCCGCAGGGCAGGAGCCACCGGGGACCCCTGCCCGGGGGGTTGCAGCCCTCAGAGCCATTTGCTGGGGCTGGCAAAGCAGGATTGGGGCTGGCTCCCTCACTGTGGCCCAGCACTTGGTTGCACTGTCCCTGCCTGGCTCCTTGAAGCAGGGGCAGAGGGCTCCTGGAACAGCCCAGGGGGACTCGGAAGTGCAGAAAGAGCTTAGGACAGACACGACATCCCCGATGGCTCTCTGGCTGCGTGCTCAGCGGGAGTGATCGTGTCATTCCAAAGCTGTCTCTCTCCAAGGGCCAGATCCTGCTCTCCCGCTGCCCATCAGCACTGGGCTGCATGGGAGGGTGGTGGCACACAGCTGGTGCAGCATTCTGTGTCCCAGTGCGGGCAGCCAAATCCCCGCAGCCAGCCAGGGCCCCGCAGACAGGCAGCTCATCCCCAGGAAGCAAGCTGCTGTCTTTAGGAGCATGAGAACATGGGGAACCCCCGGCTGTGGTGCGTGGGGCTGAGCCACGATGCTGCCTGCTGTGCTCCATCGCGCAGGGCCCGGAGCAGCGGCGGCTGAGGCGGAGGCGCGGGTAACGAAATCCCAGGGCAGCTGGGCGCAGCGGGGACAGCTGCTTTTGGGATTCCGTTGCCCGTGCCGGCGCTGCAGAGGGACGGACGCAGGGGCCGTTGCTGCCCACCTACAGGACGAGGGAGAGAGGCCGACTTACCAGGGTGCCGTGGGGAGGGCCGTGAGGAAATGGCTCCCAGCAAAGCCCCGGTGGGGCTATGGCGTGTGGTGCCACCGGAGCAGCCCCGGAAACCCGAGCTGGCCCCGAGGGAGGACACCTGCGCTGGGGGTGCCGGAGATGGGCACGTCGCAGCCCCCGCTGCTGCCCGCTCTGTGTCACCGCTCAGCGCAGAGCGCCCGGGGAATCCCACCCGGGGTGCGTGAGGCCCCGCGGCAGAGCGGCTCGGTGACCGACAGCGGCACAGCTCGTGGCACCTGCCCGGGGCTGGCACAGTGTGGGTGTCCCTCCGAGTCACCCAATGCCCCCGTCCCCCGCTCAGCCCAAACAGAGGGGGGAACCGTGGAGCCCGCGGCAGTGCGCGGTCAGCGCCGCGGGGGCGATGCGGGGTTCCCCCAGCCCACGCGTGGGCACAACTCTGCTCGCACGGCTGCAGCCCGGCGGCACTGCCCCGTTCCTGCGATCCCGCGGCCCCGTGGCGAAGCGCCGCGGATTTTCGGCCGCCCACGAGGGACCACCGCGGGGCCGCCCCGACGCCGCTCACCTCCGCACGGCGGCACCCGCAGCTCCGGCGCGGCCGCTCCGTGGTGTCCCCGGCGGCGCGGGGCTCGGGGACCCCCGGACGGAGCGGGACTCCGCGTCCACCCCTTCGCGGCGGTGCCGCCCGCTTCCCCTTCCCGACGCTGCCGGTTTCGCTTTTGCTCCGCAGCCGGGGCCAAAGCCCGCCCCGGGCGGACCCAGCACCGGCGGAGCCTCCCGCCGCTCCGGGAACTCCCCGCAGCCCGGCGCAGGGCAGACCCCGCGGGACCCCGACCCACGCCGCGGTGCGGGGCCGCGCCGCCCGCCGAGCCCTCCGCGTGCGCCCTCCGCGTCCCTCCCCCCCGGCTCGGGGCGCACCGAGCGCGCCCCGCAGGTGCCGGTCGCATAGGATGGAGCGGGGCACGGTCCCGCCGCCCTCGCGCCGCCTCCGCGAGCTCCCCGCGGCCCCGAACCCGCGCGTGGAGCCGGGGTGCGTCGGCAGCATCGGCGGCGGCCGCGAGGGGGCGCCCTGCAGGGCTGCGCGACGCTTCCGGGAGCGGCGGAGCCATGGCGGCGGCGGCGCTGCGGCGGTTGGGCCGTGCGGTTCCGCGGGTCATCACAGGGTGCGGGGTGGTGCGGGCCGTGGGGCTCCGTGGACGGGGGGGGTCCCGGCACGGGCACACCGGGCTGAGCCGCCGGTCCCGTAGGGCGCCGCGCCGTGGGCACCGCCTGACGCAGTCGGACGACGAGATGTACCAGCGGACGCGGGTGACGGTGCTGCAGCCCGAGAGCCCCAACACCGCCTTCATCGAGGGCTACAGCAGCCGCGGGTTCAGCATCAGCGGCACCGTGGTGGTCGGCCCCTGTGCCGTGCTGCCCCGCGCCATCCTCCAGTGGAACGTGAGTGCGGGAGCGGGCAGGGATGGGTTGGGGACCGGGCCGCCCCGCTGAGCGCCGCGCTGTGCTTGCAGGTCGGATCACACCGAGACATCTCGCTGCAGAGCCTGTCGCTGTTCCGCCTGCTGGAGCCGCGGATAGGTACGGCACGACACGGGGCGGAGATGGGGATGGGACCCCCGCTCGGGGCTCCCTCCGGGCACCGCGGCAGCGCAGGAGCCTGCCTGCCTCTGTGCCACCTCTGCGCCTCGTTGCAGAGATCCTGGTGCTGGGCACAGGGGACAGAGTAGAGCAGCTCCATCCCGCCGTGCTGAGGCAGATGCGGCTGTGCGGGATCGCCGTGGAGGTGCAGGACACGGTGAGGAGGGGTCCCGCCCCGTGGCCGCCGTCCCTCTGCACGCAGTGACCCGTTGCACCGTCCCTCTCCTTTCGCAGCCCAACGCGTGTGCCACCTTCAACTTCCTGACAAGCGAGAAGCGCCTGACAGCCGCCGGCCTCATCCCCCCGCGGGGCACCAACACGGAGCTCCCGGCGCTGCCCTTTGCCACGGACTGAGTGCTTCTGTCCTCTCCCACCCGCAGCACCGGGGCTGCCCCACACCGAGCGCCGGGCGGAGAGACGCTGCAGGATGGGCAGTCGGAGCCCAGCTGCTGGCTGAGTGCTGCCTCTCGGCTGTGGAGCACTGTACGGCCGTGCTTGGGGGCTGCACAAGGAGAATACACATAAATCAGAAGTACAAAGCAATTACGGAGTGGTTAACGCTCAGCAAAGGTGGGCTGTGATGAGCTATTAGGCTTGGTGTGCTCATCACCCTGCAGAGCTGGCCAGGGGCTGTGGATCGAGGGCAGCAGCTCCTTGGGTTAGGTGTGAGGTGTCAGGGCTGCCTCCTGGCAGCAGCACCTCACCTGCCCCGGGCTCTGCTCTGGGGTTTGTGGCTCCCTGCTGAGCCCTGAGCTGCTGCAGGATGCTGTGGTGCTTGCCCTCCTCCCTGCAGGTGAATGGGTGCTTGGCTGCCATGTAATTCCAGGTTCTGGTTTTAGCATATGCAAGTCTAAGTCGACATGACCGTGCTACAGAGGTGTGCTTTCAGGCAGCGTTAGCAACAGAAGCGCTGTTGTTCACTACACACCTATATGCAGGAGCAGTGCTCATCTTTAGCTGGGGGCAGAGTGTTGATCTAGGTGTAAAATACCTCCAGCACCCAGTGCTGTGCTGCAAGCTACCCTGACCAGGCAAGGGTTGTTTCTGTGGGCAGTCATGCAGAAAAGCAAACTTCTGCAGCATTCATAAGCCCACAAGCTGTTGTTTGATTGTGAGCCCGTGTTTGAGTTCATTGTCCACGTGCCTTCCAGGAAACAAGTGGCTCGTTATGCCCCTGTAAGCACTCCAGTGCCACAGGCTCCCATGGCAGCCTCCAGCCTGGGCTGCTGCTTGGGGTGCAGGCAGAGTGCCTGCAGGTGGGAGGTGTTCTGGGATGTTTAGGGGAGGCCACAAAGAGGAGAAATACTGTGTTGTGGAGAACACCAAGCATGCAAACACAGGGCAGCTCAATGTGCTTGCTCAGGTGCATGCCTGTCTGCATACATGTGCACCAGCACCTACATGTTTGTCACTGCACCAACAAACTGCTGCCTGGCTGCTAGCTCTGGCAGCTCCTCACAGTGGCCGATGGTGATACACATTTGTTTTTCCTGCCCAGGGGCCACTCATTTTCTGCTCGAGCCAGGTTGGTTTGCTCACACGAGCTACCTCAGCCATAAAGCACTCACTGAAGGGGCTGTCCCTTCCCCACTTTCCCCGACACACCGGTCCTTTTGGGGCCATCACAGCTCCCCCGGCGGCCGTGTAACATGGTGTAAGATCCAGCACCTCAGTAAAACTCTCCTGGAGCTGTGATAGGCCCCAGGACTTCCAAACACTATTTTTTTTAATTAAAAAAAAAAAAAAAAAAAGCAAAACAAAACATTTCTGCACTCTGCTCCCTTCCTCTGTCTTCACCTCTTCTGCTCAGCCCCCGTTCCTGCACTCTTGAAAACATGCAGGCAGAGGACAGCAGCAAAAGATGAGAATAAGAGGGCAGGACAGAGGGAAGGGCTGACTGGACACATCAACTACACATCTTTTCCTCTTTTATTGTAAAACACAGCCAACACATACGAGGCTTCAGGCACCAGCCCAGGAGCATGGTTCCTGGGTGGCTCGTGGACCCTCGAAGGTGGGGATAAAGCAGCCAACAGATACAGGGAGCTCCAGGCAGCCCACAGAGAAATGGCACTTCTGCAGCAAGAGCAGCTCCCATCGGGGGTAGCGTGAGGCCAAGTGGCACAACGACAGACACAGAGGGGCCTCTTTCAGAAGAGACGTTTCTCATACCTGCGAGGACAAAAGCAAAACGGCCCTTTTACTGACACATCTGACCACGGAAAGGGGCCACAAAGCAGCTAGGAGCAGCTGCCAGCCAGGAGCACTTACGAATGGAGGCCGTGAACCCCTCCTTCCACCTGGGCAGATGTTGTCCTCTTCTCAAACTTCAGCTCTCCCGAGTACATCATGGCTCTGAGGAGGAAGGACAGGAAGTCACGTGCCAGCCAGAGCCCAGGGCAGAGTGCTCTGCTGAGTTCAGCCAGAGCAGCTGGGATGAGGCAGGCAGCAATTCCTTCAGCTGCGCTGCTCAGAGCCAGGTAACCCCGTGATGCTTCAGGCCCAGCCAACAAGTTCACGAGAAGCCACGCTCCTGCACCTCTGGAGCTGGCAGATGTACCACCCAGTGCCTAATGGAGACAAGGGCTACAGCAAGGCAGCAGTTTGGGCACAGCCTGCCCAGAGACCCCAGAGAGCAGCACCGTGGCCTAACCCAAGCACAGGTGCAGGTGAGCACTCACCGGACTTGGGTCAGGCTCTTGGCACCAATATCCTGACAGGAATGCTGGATCCCAGCAATCAGGTATGGAATGAACTTGTGGATAGAGCCTTTGTCCTGCACTGCGCCAGAGACCCCCTGGGCCACCTTGATTTTGTCTGTCTCGCTGCATGGGAGCAGAAACAAGAAAATCTGTGAATCAGAGATCCCAAGAACTTGATCTGCTGCCCCAAAGCACCATCTCTTACCTGAAATACCGGTTCTGGCTACCCAAGTTCTTGTCCATGGCATCTAGTGAGCCCATGCCACGGTATTTCTTCAGCCTAATTCCATCCGAGAAGAAGTACTCGCCTGGGGCCTCCGTGGTGGCAGCCAGGAGAGAGCCCATCATCACTAGTGCAAGAGATCACCAAGGGCAGCAGGTCAGCAGCAGGAAGGCTGCGGCTGCCAAAATCCTCAGTGACAGCACGCAGCTCCTGAACCGTGCTGGTCCCTTGTGCTCACAGCCTCCTGCTCTTGTGCCAAGTCTGACGCCATATGGAGCCTCCCGTGGCACCCCGTGCACAACTCAGCTGCTCTGTGCTCTGCTCACCTGTGGAAGCACCGAGTGCGAGGGCCTTGGCGATGTGTCCAACTGTCTGAATCCCTCCGTCTGCAATCACCGGGACGCCAAACCTCCTGGCATATTCGGACACCTTGTACACAGCCGTGGCCTGGGGGCGGCCGCATGCCAGCACTACAGGTGGGGAGAGAGCAGGAAGAGAGTCAGCTCCCACACAGCACCGCTTCCCCACCCCAGCAGGCCCTGTAGACTTCCAGCACACACATGCCCCAGTACTCAGGAACCCACAAATCCCTGGGGGCTCCTTCCCTGGGCCGAGTTTCAAAGGAGCACACGTCTGGGAGATACCTGCTGGGACATCCTCGTGGCCCTCAGCTCTGCAGGCTGGGGATGATCTTGGGACTGGGCCCTTTGATGGAACGCCGGGGCTGAGCCAATGCTCGAGGCTCATAGAGGATGGACAGGGAGCTTGGGAAGGAAGCGGAGTGGACTGCAAATGCTCCTCTCTTGAGCATCCCTAGCATGGGCCATGTCCCACCGCTCGCCCCTTTCTAGCAGTGCCAGACCCCTTCTCTGTATACCCAGCAGCTGCCCACTGTGCCTCCTGCATGCAGAGGCAGCTGGCTGGGAGACAGTCAATACGCGTAGCTATGTACAGATATATTGTTAGATATACACACGCCTGCACACACACACACACACACACACACACACACAAACATGCAGCAGTGGAAAAGGAAGTGGGCAGGATGATCAGATGGCTCACAGGAAATAATGTCTGTTCCTGCCCTGCAATGCAGCCAGAATTCTGTCACTTTTAGCTGCCCCACAGGAGGGAAGTTATTAGCTCCAGATTTACCTGCACTTCCCAGTTGCTAGCAGTTAGAGACTTCCCACTGAGCTTGGAAGGCTTGAGGGAAGATCAGCACAGGGCATGTCTTGTAACACATTTGTCAGGCATGCAAGTATGCCAATAAGCTTCTTTCACCAAGACTTCCCCACAATTAACCGGAAGCCTTTTCGCCAATCACAGTTAGTCTGATACAGCAGATAAGATTATGGACATGCAGGATTAGTACTTCAGAGTGCAAAATCCAGGTGTGGTTTAGCCTGCTGGCAGCAGCACTGGCAGCACACCTCCCTGGCAGATGTGCCAAGGCCGAGAGGCTGTGATCGCTCTGTTCCCAGGGCTCAGCAGCAGCTGCTGAGAGAGGGAAGCCAGGTAGAGGTCATGAAAGAACTGATTTGAACGGAACAAAACTCTGCATTAAGCTAGGGCTCAGCCAGCCAGGGAGGTCTGCCAGGTCCAACATGAACGCCGTTAGTCTTAAAGAGGTGGTCTCACTTGGTAGCACGCCGCTAAAGGCCACGTTGAGGCTGCAAGGGAAGAGCTCAATGGAGAGAAGCAAGTCACTTGGGAGGGCCTAAAGCCTGACACCTACAGGATCGTGCCAGGAAAAAGGGCCTGCAAAAACTTCCCACCAGCAACCAGAGACCAGCCCTTTAAGGAACCACTTGGCTCGGGGCTCCTGGGAGCATCACGCCGTTCCCAATGTCCCAGAGCCCAGCACCACAGATTCCAAGTGTAAGGCTTCCAAAGCAGGGTTCAGAGCACACACACACCAAGTAGTCAGGGTGAGGGTTTGTCTTTTTAGTGTTTCTGCAAAAGGTGGCCCTAAAAGATCAACCGCTAGAGAAAACCTTCCAGGATCTTCGACAGAAACCTCTTTCCCATCGAGGTGTTTCAAAACAGAAAGGGCAAAAACCAAGGGTTACCATGGCTGTCTGCTCAATCCAGTAGTATCAGAGAAGTACAGAGCCAAGCTGCACCCTGTGCTGGGCAGGAGTGAGCCCCTTCTCTCCCCACAAGAATCAGGCATTCGTGGGGAGAGACGTGCTTCTGGTACACAGCTGTAACATGCTGTTACGTCCCTTTGTAACCCTGGGGGAGTCAGCTTCAAGTCAAGCTCAGCCAGTGCATAACTTCCCCACAGCCGGGCCCAGATTTGGAGCAGGACTGAGGACTGCTCAGGGATCATCTCCCAGGGTTGGACTACCAGGTGCTTGCCTGGCTAGGGATCCAGCCAGGAGGCTCAGCCAGGCTCCTGAACTGGCTTTTGGCCTGAATGCCCCTTGTTTTGACAGTTCAGACCCTGCTTTAGGAATTCAGAAAGGCTTCTCCGCTTCAATTTCAGATTCAAAACCAGTATCCAAAGCCACAAAACCCCAAGTGCATCTACAGCTAAATTATTCTCAAACAAGCAGTAGGGCCATGTGCAGCCAAATAAGGGTCCTGCTTCAAGACACATAATTAGGGTTGGG